CCTCAGATTTTTAAAGTATTACTGAGATAACACGTGTTATAACACGTGAGATAACACGTGTTATAACACGTGAGATAACACGTATGGCAAAATTTATGCAACAAAAGGCTTTTTCTTGTCTCTGAATACTCTAAAATAACATCTACAATTTTGGTGTTTTGACAACGCAAATGTAATTGAAATATCAAACAACGATGATCTCATTAAAGTTATATATAATAATCAATTTTGTGTTCAAAATGCTCAGAATCCTGGTAACTATGAGATTTAACATAAATAAAATATCAATAAATTTCTCTTAATATATACATAAAATTATATAAGTTTTAGTGGTTATGCAACTAAAGTTTTTTTTATTTTATCCACCTGATGTTGTTTCCACCTCCTATTTTATCCACTGTGCGATAGTCACGACTTTCTTAAGAAGTCCATGTAATAAAATTTATAACTTAAGTGATCATAACTTTTTATGAAATTATTAAACTTATATAAAACTTTTGCTATCGTATTATTAATTTTAAGCTCCTCCAATAACCCATAACTATGTAGTGTTTATACAATCTGGAATTGTTGCACAAATACCCAGATATATAAATTGTCGCGTTGGTTTGAGAAGGTTCTAACTTACATTTTAGCCGTAATAGAGGTTTTCACTTTAGCAGACTATTGACAATAATGAAAAAGAAAATAAACTGAAATTTACTGCAATCTAACGTAAAACAAGCAAACTGCTTATGTGCCAAAGTTCTATCTGAAGGTTTAGTTGACTAACATTTAGTTTTATAAGGTTCCAACTATCTTTACCTGCAGATTTCTCCGCTGTTTTTTCAATTAGTTATTATGACAGAGAACTTTATGCATGTCAAAAATCACATAAAAAAAAAGGTATACAAAAATCACATAAAAACAAAGGTATACAAAAAAGTGGTGTACAACAAGCTAGTACAACATCAATTCAAAAATAAGAATTGGTTCGGCTTAAATTTATATTTATAAAGTTAATATATTGAACCTCTTTTTATAATTTTATTTGTTTATTTTCAAAAATGGGAAAAAATACTCTAAAAGATAAAGATAATGGAAGTTTTTATTCGGGAAAATATTATTAGTAACTTATCCAATGAAAACTTAATTATTTTTTCAAGAAACTCAATTAAACATAATTAACATATTTTAATCCTTTTTACTTCAAAGTAATGAAAGATTGTAATTCATTGTTGTATTACACATAAACATTAAAAGCACGGAGTAATATATTGAGTTAAGTTTAAAGAATTTTTACGTATTTTAAATTAGGCGTTTGATGTCATAGTTCTTACAAAGACTTGAGATGATAAAAAAGTTCTGTTGAGTTAAATTCTAACTATAGCTTGCCATCTTATAAATTAGTTAGTCAACCAAGAGCCAGCCGAAAAAAAGCGACTTATGTCTCTAATAACTATATTTATTAAATAAAAAACCTACATTGTTTCTCGAATACTAACTAAGAAATTCTTAACATTAAAATTATTAACAATATAAAATATAATTTTATAATATAAAATATATTATTATAATTTTATATAATAAATGAAAAATATATTAGTAGGATGTGTTTGTCATACGCCAAATTTTTAAATTAAATTATTCAAAATATATATGTAAAAAACTATTATAAAAATTATTAATGAAAATAAATTTGGGGCATGAACCAAAATGCTCTGATCAAAAATTTGCTAAAACAAAATCTTTCTTTGATATGGTGTTTAAATTAATTGTTATCAATAAACAACTTGTTACAAAAAATTCATCAACTGCAATTTACAATATTTTCATAAACAACTACCTAGAATCAACGTTTAAAAGCGGAATACTCCGGACAGATAGTATCACTTTCTTATTTTCTTAAAAGTAAATTATTTAAAAACTGCGTAAAATAAACTTATGATAAACTCTTTAAAACCATTTAAGTTTTAAACATGAAAAGAAATTTTAAATTTTGAAAATCATAAGAAAAATGTTTTTTTTTACCTGATTTACTTTTGTTTGACTATTTTGACGTTAACTTTGTTGTTATTTTGCGTGTGTGTATATATATATATATATATATATATATATATATATATATATATATATATATATATATATATATATATATATAAAAAAATAAAACAAATATAATTAAATTAAATGAAATCATTATTACTATTAAATATAAGAAAAATCGAATGGTAAATATTTTTTTTTCCACGGTAAATATTTATTTATTTTTCAATAAATACGTAATTATTATGTGTTTATAAATAAAACAAAAAATTAGGTATTATACATGAAATTAGTAGATATAAGTAACAATTTGTAACGACTATTAGTGATGATGCAAAATAACTTTATACTAAAAAAAAAAGGTAGAAATTTCTAGTTAAAGTAGGATATGTGGTATACCCTTAGTAAGGTGTAATTTTCTACCTTATAAGGTAGAAAATTATACCTTTAAGGTAGAAAATTGTATGACAAATAATTGTTTTTAATATAATTTTCTACCTTAAAAGGTAAATTATACCTTACCAAAGGTATATCACATATCCTACCCTAAGGTAGAAATTTCTACCTTTTTTTTAGTGTGTAATAGTCGTGATGCAGTGGTCTGAGTTCTTGCAGGCATAAGACGGCGTTTTTTTTTTTAACTTTTATCAACAATCATGATTTTAAATAAAATTAATCTTTGCGTCGTTGATCTTTACATCTGACACACAAATAAATGGGTTACCTTTTAAATAAGCCAAGACAAAGTTTCTTTAGACGCCTGATGTAAAGTTTGTTGTTATTACTTTTTTTTTTTGCTAACCCGTTGTCACAGTTGTATCGTCGCTAGTTCCAACTGTATTTTATATTTTCAAATGTTTTTAGCAATTGGTCACATCGTTAATAAATAGTTTGGATATTTAAATATAATACCATGACGAATTGTTGAAATTGACGGTAATTCCAAAGCCGATTGCAATGAGTGCCATATTGAGGCCCGACTTTAATGTTGTTTGTTATTATTTTATTAACTCCAAAAACTTAATTAAAAACGTAATATTTATCAGTTATACTAAGATTGTATCTTTTTCCAAATCCATAATACTTTCTTATTTTCTATTAAAGAAATATAACTAAATTTTGCCAAATTATATTTGCAAGAATGATACAACCATCCAATTTCTTTGATGCGTACTTACGAATTGCTCCAACAATTACTGAGCAGTAGTCTTCTTTATTTTAATCTTCCAAAAATTAATTTTTGTTGACTTCATTAAAGCCAACAGTAAGCAAGAACAACTCTTAAGTAAAATTTATATAATAAAACTACTTGGAGAATTTTAAAGAAGTTTGTTAGTTTTGATTCAAAACTATTTTGTTACTTTTTGCTGCAATATTTAGTTATTCCTGTATCTAAATTGGTTTCTAAATTTAGTTAACGAGTAAATCAAATATTTATACTAGATAAAATGAGGGTTGCTAGACATCCGTCTTTTACGGAGAAGAATACAGTATAAATAAATTTTTTTGCTGTATTCTCCTTCGTAAAAGCCGGACATCTGGCAACCCAAGGTAAAACCTATTTTTTTTTTGAAAGCAACTATTATTTATTTCAAATTTAGGCTGTTGAAAAATCAAACTATCAGGCTGTTTAAAAACCAAACTTGCTATTCACGGATAATCAATTACAGGCAATACAGAATAAAAAATTCTTTGCAAATGAAGTGCTTGAAGCCTGCAACACACACTGCAACAGGCAAAAAAAAAAAATTAACGAAACCTATCAAAGACCAGCAAGCTGATATTGTGTCACTATTAAAAGAAACGTTCCAATTTTGGAATTTGAAAAAAAAAGAGAGAGAGTTGTTTAAAATTTAATTTTTGGAATAATTTGTGGAAAACGCACCGGCTGGTTATTAGCATTTAATGCTAACAACTGCAACTTTTTTTATGTTTTAAGTTTTTTTATAAAATGTTAAAATAAGAAGCAGAAGACCAACCACCAAAAATAGCAAAAACTGAATAGTTTTTATAACTTTTCTAAAAAAGGAATTTAGAATAACTGATTAAACAAAAATATAGAATTTAAAATATAGAAATAAAAATAAAGAAGACCCCAACTATGATAGTATTTGCAGAAAAAGAGAAAGAGATGCAATCTTACAATGATGGGAGAATGGCTCAGCCTTGACAGATAAAGTAGGTACAACAAAATTTACAATGCATTTTCGGACCTTGTTTTGAAGAGAAAGTGCATCATTATAAAAACCAGTACGAATAAAAGATTTGTAAAGATGGAATCAGTAAGAAAAAGGAGAGCAGAATAAAGCAATTTAATCTTAACAGATTTTAAATCCTAGTGGAAAAAAAGACGTCGAAAAGACGTCTTTAAAAGTCTTATTTACGATGTCTTTAAAATGTCTTTTTTTAATCGATTATGCAAATCTAAAAGACATCTTTTGTCGAAATCGAAAAGACGTCTTTTTTTATCTTAATCTTGTTATGAAAAGACATAAAAAATGCGTCTTTAAGACGCCTTTTTTTAGTCGAATATGCAAATCTAAAAGACATCTTTTTTCGACATCGAAAAGACGTCTTTTTTTATCTTAATCTTGTCATGAAAAGACATAAAAAATGCGTCTTTAAGACGCCTTTTTTGAGTTGAATATGAAAATCTAAAAAAATGTTTTTTCTCGGGGTCGGAACTACTTTTTTTTCATACTTATTAGTACACTATAGTATCCTATACACTATAGTATTCCTACCTTTCTTATATGAAAAGCTATTTTTTTCAAATGAAAATGATAATAGCACTTCATACAAGGTATGACAAAAATCTTTTTCCGATTCCGAGAAAAAAACCTCTTTTAGTTGTCAATATAAAAGAGGAAGCATTTTCTACATCTTTTAAATGTTTAAATATAGGAAGATAATTTATAAATAAAACAACAGTATTGTTCAACAGAATATTTTTTCATCTTTCTCTTTCTTTTAAGTTTCTTGAGCGACCTCTGTTTCTTGGCGTTGTTGAATAAAATTAACAACTTCACGTCGAGAAATCCTTTCATACGAGCAGGTTACGACTTCTAGCTGGTTACCACTTCTAAAAAACGAGTGAACATAAAAAACAGTCTATTGCTAAAATGTAATACAAAAAAAGCAAACAAAACTTGATTAGCTGAGTGGAGCACATTATACTTACCGACTATTAATTCAAAAAAGGCTGATCCTTTTAATCCACTCATGTTTCCAGCGCGGTCCCTTCTTTTTGAACCCACACTTAGATTGGGACAGGAGTTAAACGGTAAATAGTCTAAAAATATATAATAATGAGTGCGCTAGATAAATTTACAACCATCAGAATGACTGTACAACGATGTATTTTATTATGTTGTACTTAAATCAAGCTAAACATTTGCACCTCTCAGATTTGCTATGAAAGTCAAGTTATTGAAATCTTTTGTATAAACAATTTCATCATTCAACTAAATAAAAACAACAAAATTATTCAGATCATTTAAAAAAAAAAAATTACAAGCCTACTGAATGCTTCTTTTTTTCTATCGTTCGTTTCACTGGCACTTGAACAAGTAAATATAGAGAGAAATTGTTTACAAGTTTTATTTTTCGTCTGAAAATAAATATTTTAATTTAATATGTAATAAACAACGTTCTTCAAGCACAATACATTAAAAAATTAGTCTAAAAATAAATGTTAAAACTTTTTTTAAACACTTACCTGCGACTAACTTAATTGAGACTAGATCATATCGATACCATCTTACTGGCACCACGCCATCCACTTTTGCTTCTTCCGATTAACATTTTTTAGGTAAGCACTAACTCCTTTAGGTAACGCTCTAACCACTGCGCCACGGCCGCACACTTCCTGACAAAGCCTGTTACTTTACTTATTTTATTAAGAAAATAAATAGATAACACAATAATGGATTTCAAAAGCGTAATAAAAAAAGCTGGAAAAGAACAAGAATTTAAAAAAAATCATAAATTTGATGGTTTTTTGGTGAAAGTTGGAAGTACAGAGCCCATAAATCGCTTAAAAGAAACAGAGCAAATAGTTTCAGAAAATGATCATCAATTACAAGAAATCATAAATTGCGTTCTCCTGAATTAATCACTGATAGCTGTAACTTGAACATTAACAGAAAAGATGACATTGGTTTATGGGAATATCTTTCTAAAGTCGATATTTTGTTTTGGATTTGAAAAGAACCAAAAACTATTCAGAACTTTGATTTCTTTGAATCAAAACAGTTTTACAAGGATCACAATCGCTTTTGTTCAAAATCTTTTTTCAAAGGCCAAAGAGAAAATGGTGAAAAATATGATAGTAAATGGTTGATTTTCTCGCCAGCAAAAGGAAATCTTTACTTCTTTGTATGCAAGGTTCTTAAATTTTTCTGTTTTTTTAAAACTACAACTGGTTTGAGAGACTGGAAAAATGCTGTTTCCCTGTTAAAAACCAACGAAAATTCTACAGAACGCCAAGAAGCTTTAATGGCTTATTTAATTAAAAGAAGTCACAACACATTAGACAACAAACTTGAAGAAGTATCAATAAAAAAAAAACAATATTGGAGTTGCAGTTTATACAAACTGAAAGTCATACCGGATCAAATTTAGCCGGAGTAACAGCGAACTTCTTGAATAGTTTTGAAATCAACTTTTCAGGCTGTAGATCTCAGTCATTCAATAACGCTTATAATATATCGGAAAAATATAAAGGAATGCAAGCAAATATTTTATTTTATTTTTTTTTTTTTTTTAGGTTGATTAAGGTGCCCCAAGAAGTCCTTACGGTCTTATCACAGAGCACCGCGGAAGAGCATTTAATAGGAAGTTCACGCCTCCTTCCCAACCGATGTCGCAAAACTTGCCCAGAGGTGGGGTTCGAACCACGGATCTTTCGTTTCTGAGACAAGTGCCTTACCACTGCGCCACGGCTGCTAAAATAATGCTTCAAAATATTTATAAAAAAATAATGTTTCAAAAAATTTATAAAAAAATAATATAAAAAAATAATGTTTCAAAATATTTTCCTTGCGCTGGACATTCCTTAAACTTGCTTGAATCATCTGGAGCTGATGTTTTCCAAGAAACTAAGAAATATTTTGACATCGCTCAACAAGTTTACAACTATTTTTCATTGTCAACAAAAAGATAGAGTGTTCTTAAAAAAAAATCAGCCCGTATGGTCAAACCACTTTCGAGAACAAGATGGAATGCAAGATCAGATTCAGTGAAAGTAATCAAGCTCTGTTTTGAAAGTATTTTTAAAAGAGTTCCTTCACGGATGTTTTGAAAGATTGAAATTTTGAATTAATTGCTAGAGCTGTAGCACAGAATATTGTATCAAAAATGCATACCAGAATATTTTATCAAAAATGAAAGAATTTGAATTTGCAGTATAAATAGTTTTCTGGGATGCAATTCTAAAAAGAATAAACTTGTATCAAAAGCTTTACAAGATTGAAAAATAAAATTAGATACATGCTATTTACTCCTATCTTCGCTGGCAGATTATATTCAGAATTCGAATGACAACTATGATGGTTATGAAGCTAAAGTTAAAATTTTAATTCCTGATACAGAAAATTCCCATAGAAAACATCGAACAAAGAAAAAATTCTTTCATAATCCAAACCATTAAAAATGTGTTATAATAACTCTAAAAGAAAGATTTCAGAAAGATGCTTTTATCAAAGACGTCAATGCAATTCACTAAAATTTGAATAAAAGGATGATTGTATGTCAAGAATCGAACACAACTTTTGGATTTTTGATAAATGTGAACATCGATAATGCAAAGCTGAAGAAAAATATTGAAGAAAATGATGAACATTATCATGAAAGTATCGATATGTGTTTGTTTGTTGAAATTTTTCTATTTCATAACTTTATCAAAACTATATATTAAGAAACAGCTATGACTCACTTAATCATCAGCTATTTAAAGAAAAAAACTTAGAAATTGCATTTCCAAATCTTGAAACATTTTTGAGAATCTTTTTATGCTTTATTATATTATATTGTTCCGGTGAAAGAAGTTTTAATCAAAATTAATCAAAATTAATCTAAATTAATCAAAAGTTTTTGGAATTCAAATTAAATTTTAAAAAAAAATTCAATGCAACAATTGTTAATTTTTAAAAAAAAATTCAATAATTATTTAATTTTTGAAACCAGTTCAAAAATCAATCCAACATTTGTTAATTTTTGAACTGGTTTCAAATATGAATCAAGAAACTTTGAATAATTTATAAATTTTATCTAGCAATGCGGATTTAATAAAATTTTAATACGGATTCTCTAATCAATAAATTTTGTCATAAAAAAAAAAATTCTATAAGTAAAACAATTATTAAAATTTTCTCTTTTCCTGAAATGTTACTTATTTTCTAGAGTATTTTGCATTAATAAAATCTAGCTACATATATGTATACGGCATTATACTACCAGTTTAATTATCAGTACAATTTGTTTTTTTATGTAATAAAATAAAAAATTGACATAAGAAAATTTTTGACTTTTTTGAAAAAGGGCCCCAAAAAAGTAACTCAGTCTAGGGCCCCAAAGGGTTTAAATCCAGCCCTATTTATAATCCCACAAATTTTTATGAGATCTAACAAGTCATGAAATATAAACACTCCACCTAAATTAAAAATTTTAAATAAAATTAAATACACACAAAACTTTTTTTTTTTTGTGTGATTGATAAAATGTGATTGAAATACTACAAGAGATAAGCAACGCTTTGCTTTAAACATAAATAGCATCACTTGGTGGATGTTAGGCTCAAAATATTTAAAGTCCTAAGCTAGCCTAAGAAAGATTCGCAATAAACATTTCTGTTTGTCCCAAATATTTAATTTACAAGCATGTTTTTGTTTACTATTGATTTTTGTTTTATTTAGCAAAATTACTTACTGTAGGAAAGCTACTGCCTCAAACAGTAGCTTTCTTTCAGTTAGAATGATAGCTGTGTATAAATAAAAAGTTTTTTAATTATGTGTTATTAGGAAAAAAGTTTGTTTTATATAGCATCGAAATTTTTTTCTAGACCTTGCATTTAATATATTTAGTATGAGAATTTCATTTTTTATTTAAAGCTACTCCTAGGAATTTCTGGTTGATCCCCTTTTTTTATTATTTTTTTTATTCAAAACATAGGTAATTTAAGAGAAATGTCATCAGCAATACAAGGTTTATGAAATCGAATAAAATTAGTTTTCTCTACAATTGATGTAAGTTGTTACATATAAAACACTTGTTTATGTTAATTCTTTGTTAAATGTTTTTAAAAGAACTTTAATATCTTTGTGAGAATAAATTTAATTAAAGTCTTAATTAAAATTAAGTAATCTGCAAATATGTTAGTATTAAATACTTTTGATTTTCAAATAGATGTCATCTAAATAAAGTAAAAATAGAAATGATCGTAAAATAAAAAGCTTAAGGGTACCCAACCAGTTATTAGGGGATTTTTTTTTGAAACTTTTGATTCTTTAGTATAATTTCTGTTTAGTCAGGTAAAAAGGAAGCAAAATTGACGACTTACTAACTTATACCGACTCTAATATACCAGCAGTAACAGGTATGCTAAAAAAAAACAGTTAACTCTTAAAGGGACAGCTGAAAGTAAAACGTGTTGGGGATATTAATGATCCAAAATCAATAAAATATCATTATTTAATTGGAGAAATGATTGCCTTAGACAACGAACCATTAACACTTGTTGAACGAGTTGGCTTCAACAAGTTTATGGAAAAGGCAGTACCGCAATACAAATTACCTTGTCGCACCTACATGACTGAGAAAATTATCCCGACATATATAATAGAATTTGCACAAAAATTGAAGCTAGCATTTCACAACCAGCAGCAGTATCCATGACAACTGATATGTAGACATGTCAGTACAACAGCCAAAGTTTCTTAAGTTTTACTGCGCATTGAATATCTCTAGATTTTATTCTTGAATATGCTGTTTTAGCGATGAAGCCGTTTTCTGGTTCACATACTGGTACCAATATAGCAAAAGAACTCAATACTATTGCAGAAAGATGTTGGATTTCAAATAGCAAGATTCGTTTTCTTGTTCATGACAGTGGAGCCAATATGATAAAAGGTGTAAAAGATGCAGAATATGATTCTGCTAAGTGTAATATTCATTTACTACAACTGGGTGTCAATGTATCGCTAAGTTCTCAAATAGAAATAACACAGATGATAGCTGCTGTAAGACGAATTGTCACCCATTTTAACCACTCTTGTATAGCACAAGAAAAGCTAAAATGCATTCGTCAAGAACTTAAACTGCTAGAACATTAATTAATACAAGACGTAAGCACACGCTGGAATTCAACATACTATTTATTGGAGCGATTACTAGAGCAAAAGCGAGCTATCTCAATGTATATAACTGATCATGATTCTTTAAATGGAACAATGTACCAAACTTCTCAAACCGTTTGAAGAAATTACAAAAATAACTAGCTTGGGTATTTCTTGCATTTCTGAGGTAATTCCACATGTCATATCACGTTGTTAAAATACCTGGGAAAAGAAGAGACAGCACAAAGAACACCAAATTTATCAACAATGAGATCTTTGCTTCAATCTGAACTTGAAGCGCGGTTTAACTTTAACGAAAATGACGAATATCTGGTTGCAACTTTTCTTGACCCACGCTTTAAAACTAACTTCTTGGGTATAGTAAAAACACAAAGAGCAAAACAAAAAATTATTTTAGAAATTCTGAAAAAAAGTTTTGAAACGTTTAGCAGCACTGATGATGACTCATCTCCACTTCAGAAGAGAAAAGATGTCAATAAAAATGATAAAACAATTGAGATACACAATAGTTTCTGGAATTGTTTTGAGGAGGTTGCTACAGAAAACTTGCACACAGATGAAAATGTCGAAGAGAAAAGTTCAACAGAAAATGAAATTGATTTATTTACGAAAACTACTCGCCTAAATCGGAAAGCTGACCCTTACAAGTGGTGGTCAGTTAATGCAAAACAATATCTGAGCCTATTAGAATTTGCTAAGATTTACTTATCATCTCCAGGTAGTAGTTTATATAGTGAACGGCTATTTTCGGAAGCAGGTATAGTTTACGAGAAAAATCGAAATCGTTTGCTATCAACAAATGCCGAAAAAATTATTTTCATTCATCATAATTTACCACTGTATAAATTTTAAGTATTGACCACTGATAAATTTTAAGTATCAAAGTAGTTTTAAATAAAAAAAATTGTGATTAATAGAATCTTATATAAATAATACATTTATTATTTAATTAATCGGTTTATTGTATTATTATAGGTATACTTAGTAATTTAATCCATTTCTAATGCAATTATTTTCATTTTTCAGTATTCGGTATTCGGCCATATATTGGAAACTAATCGGCCGAATACCGAATAGTGTAAAGTGTTACCGAATACACCGAACACCGAATACTTAAAAGGCTTAAAGCCCTTTAATTTAAATGAAAACTTTTGAATTTTAAGCCTTTTAAGTTGAAAAAGCTGAATTTAAAGCCTTTTAAGTTGAATGAAAACCGCTGCGCAAAAGAGCAAATACTTCTATCTTTTAAATTTCTTTTGCGTTGCGTAAGTTATGGACGATCCCTTTGCAAAACTCAAAATTTCATTTTTATTTGTTAGATATACAAAAATTAAAAGTAAACAGAAAAAAATAATGATGAATTAAAAGCCAAGTTGTAGTTAATTACGAGCTTCGTGATTCAAGTTTCTAGTAAAGTTATATATTAACCCTTTGGGATTTGATCAAAATAAATTCAAAACCTAAATGATTTGCTGATGAAACGAATGGGTTTGCAGACAATGAATCAAAAGCAATAAAAAAAAAAGGAAAGAAAAAAAAAACTTTTCGAAAAACGGAAAAAAATAGTCTAGGTGTTTAAACAATTTTCTTCTTTATTCTTTAAACTCTACTAATAAATATTCTTTTTTGATCCGTTTTAAAAGCTTATAAAACTTTATTAACAGAATTTTTATTTATAATATTCCGTCCTATTTTTATCTATATAAATTATCGATATAAATTACTAATACATTGCACTATTGCTAGTCAAACATATTTTTTATAAATATATATGATTTTTTTTATTTATTTAACAAATTTGAAAGTGGATTTAGTTTATGACTTCATAAAAACTCCAATAAAAGTAATTAAAATATTCAAAAGCAAATTTAAAGAAATTCATTAAATGTAAATCAAATCTAATAAAAACATGATTTTAATTTGCTCAACAAAAAAGAACACGAACGCAGGTAAAGACTCGAGTATTATACTCGTATTTATATATATATATATACTACTTCAAAAAAAGCTCAAATAAAATGTCGTAAATAAATAGATATTTAGAGAAGATATTTTTTACAAACTTTTAAAACAAACATTGTTACACATTTAAAAAAAAGTACAATCGGCGATAAAAACTAGAAAATGAAAGCTCTCACTAAAATTTTATTATAAATCTTAAACTGCGTGTAAAGTGAAAAACTCGAATGTACAAGGATAATATTATTTATATATTATAATAACGTAACAGACACATAAACACGTACTAGTAATACATCATACCTAAAAAACATAAGTTTATTATTAAAAATCTTAATAAAATCTTGTTTTAAATGTAACTTCCTATTAAAATCGGTTCTATAAAAAAAAACCCTTTCTACAAGTATCAATAAATATAATAAATAAACAACACATGTAAATAAATATAACAAAATAAAAAATATAAAAATATTATATAGCGTGCGTTAAACAAGATTTTAACTTGTAAAGAAAAAGGAAAGTCCCTCAAAAGACTTACTTTGTTCTAAACTATATAAAAAAATTTCAAGATTAACGTAGAACATGAAATGCACATGTTTCTAAAATATCATGGAATGCATGTATGCTATTGCATAAAATAGAAATTAATAATTAAAAAAATATATAAATTTATAAAAAATTACCAAGAAATTAAATAACTATTACCGTTTATGGATTTGCTATGTCTTGTCATTGGTTTGTGTAAACGGAGGCTTTCGAGAGAATGATGCCAGGTCCAACATGAATGACAAAAATACTTAAAGCATTGAGGCTCTCTGCAGAAAAAAGGTCCTGGATTAATATGGCAAGTGCTACACATTGAATCTTCTAGATAAGGATCTATTTGAACCTAAATTAATAAACGTTTATAAAATGTATTAATAGAAAAACACTAACGGAAATAATATTCCCTTTATGTTTGTTTTGTTAACTAAAAATAAAAATTTTTCTGCTGGTAATTGAGGTACTCCAAAAAGATCTAAAACATCGCTTAAAAGCATTTAACAATGAAAATCATGCCGCTTTCCTTACCGTTGTTGCATACATGGCCAGATAGACATTGAGCCTCGGATCTTTTGAGTCGTGATAACCACTGCGCTACGGCTATTCAAACTTTGATTGTACACAGTAAGTATATAAAATTATGATATAAAAATAGCTTACTTTTTTTGTAAACTTTGTTGAACGAATCTCTATAAACGCAGCCTGAACTGCTTTCATAAAACTTCGATGATTACTAAAAGTGACACGGCCAGACCCTATTGGATACTTATGTTTGTCTGTGTCTATTCCTGCGTAGATTACGTTGTCAAAAAGATCATCCATTATTTGACAGAGTGCCTCTGCATTAATCATTCCGTGGAGACCGCCAACGAATATAGTTCGATTAGGATCAAGTTTCTGGGATGTAGAGCGTACAAAGTTACTATCACTTAGAACCCATGGAATAACTTGAACTTCTTTGCACCGCATACGACGACTTGATATTTTGTAGTACCAATCGCCGCCACTAGAAAAGTCGTGAGTGCAATTAGAAAGAAGCGCTTTAACTGACTTTTCCGACTCAAATAGCAAATAACAGTAGCCTGTGTTTAAAAATCAAAATATTTAATACTGGTAGATAACATAATACTAAATGTAAACTTATAAAAATAAAAATGAAACCAGTTTGCTATTTACCTCTTCCTTTAGGTGGATTTCTCTGGATTTTCATATCTTTATTAGGCCATTCAACCTTAACAGGGCCAAAGGGACGAAAAGCTTGTTGAAGTCCGGCTGAAAGAAATTTCAGTTAAAATTTAAAAAAATGGAAGCTTCTCAAAATTTGTATACAAGTTCGTTGCTTAATACAATGTAAAAAAATGTTAAAAGTAATGAAGTTTTATACTTTCAGTAATATCCCAAGGCACTCCTCCTAAAAATATTTTGTTTGAATAAATTGGGTTTTTATAATTTCTGGCTGGTAATTGACCACTCCAAGTAAACGACGGCTCACAAGATTCTAAAACGACATATATAAACGATATATAAATATTTTTAATTTAATATTTGATAGTGCTATTTTCGATGTTTATACAAGAAAATTTTAATTATGTTTAAAACCATTTCAAGCAAAAGTATTTGTGTACGTAAAAAATTATATTAAAACTATAAAGTTTAAAAGCTTTCAAACCTATTTAAAAAAAAAAGTAACAGTCATTTTAACTTAAAATGTCAATACACATATGGAACAACTGTTTTTAAAATAGGAAATCCTTTAATCAATTATTAAAATAGCATTAAAAACATTGGGTGTTGTAGCTATTTTAAAAGGTTCAAAATAAATTGTAGTAAGTATATAGATAACTTGAATTATTTATTTTTGATCAAGTTGCCTGATTTTGAATATTACATTTATCTTAGCTGTCATATACTGCTCTAAATTGTAGTTAAAACTAAATTCAAAGTAAAAATTCTATTTAGAATTAAAAACATAGAAATTAAAAATTTTATTTCGTATATTTTTTTACAAATATATTTTAATTATTCTCAGATACTCAAAATAAAGTTCTACTTAAAATAAGAGTTTTAGTATTGAAATACTTACTAAATAAAATTGTAAGAAAAAAAAAAAAATTTACCGTGAATATTGTTTTGAGCTTGTCTTTCAAGTTCAAGGATGTCCTGTGAGGCGCTATAGTAGTCTCCTAAAGAGTTCCAACGAGGATCCATCAATATATTCTCTAACGGATAATCCGTTCCAACAGGCATTCCAAAATTAGACATTTGTAAACTTCTACGAGCAAGTTCTATTTCTTGATTTGTTGATAACGGCGATAAAATATTGTAATCTGGCGTTGCTGGTGGTGTTGGTGTAAGAGATGAAGGAGAATACCGGGTGTAAGGCATAACTGGAGACGATTGATAGCAGCCATACTGAAAAAATAAAACCTTATCAAAAAAAATTGTTTACATTGAAAACATGTAACCAATTTTTTCATATAACAATTACTTTTAAAAAAATTAGTTTTTGATGTGGCAACTTTTTGAAACAAATTCTCCGATTTTGGTCGAATTAAATATTTATAAAGTTTTTATATAATATAAATTAATTTTATGATTTTTTAAATAAAACATAAAAGTACTCACTGGAGCAAGAGCAGCAAGTTGAGCAACAGACAAATTTTTTAATAATGATAGACCGTCAGGGCTTGTATTCCGTGAATGTGGCGGAGTGTATACACTAATAGGAGTTTGAGAACAGAATTGAGAACTCTCTCCTGAACTTAATTGTCTTCCATTACTATAGTTTAGTTCTGGTGAATATACTAAATAATCTAACCGGTTGTTACCAGTCGAACTTTTAAGTGGCCCAATATTATCTATGTTGCGAGTAGATCCGTGGTATTCATTTATATTTCTATTTTCTACTGTTCTAAGTGGAATAGAATAATCTCCATTAAAAGATGGGCTTGCCATATGATGATTAGAAGATGCAGTTTTTAAAATTAGGTTACTTTTGTCGATAAAATTATTGATTGGAGGTCCTTGTGATCTGGATTCTTGTTGAAAAGAAGCTGGATGTAAAATTATATACATATATATATATATATATATATATATATATATATATATATATATATATATATATATATATATATATATATATATATATATATATATATATATGTATATATATATATATATATATATATATATATGTATATATATGTATATATATATATGTATATATAAATGTATATATAAATGTATATATATAAATGTATATATATAAATGTATATATATATATATATATATATATATATATATATATATATATATATATATATATATATATATATATAGATAGATAGATAGATAGATAGATAGATAGATAGAGAGAGAGAGAGAGAGATGTTTAGGTTTGTCAAACTTCAAATTTTGTCCATTATCCTGAGCGTACCAATATATATATATATATATATATATATATATATATATATATATATATATATATATATATATATATATATATATATATATATATATATATATACATACAGATATATATATATATATAAATATATATATATATATATATATATATATATATATATATATATATATATATATATATATATATATATATATATACACATATATATATATATGTATATATATATATATACATACAGATATATATATATATATATATATATATATAAATATATATATATATATATATATATATATATATATATATATATATATATATATATATATATACATACAGATATATATATATATATATATATATACATACAGATATAGATATATATATACATACAGATATAGATATATATATATATATATATATATATATATATATATATATATATATATATATATATATGTTATGGAATGTTTAGGTGGTACAAAATTTGATGACAAACCCTAAATATCTTAATATACATTAAAATATTTATTATAAACAGTTATAAACGCATACAACTTATGGTCTTACGTATAAAAGTTTATAGTTTATTAAAACAAACTTCAAATTTATCGTCTTTAAATTATTGTCAAATACATGGTAAAGTCGTTTAATTCATTAAGTTTTTAACAAACAAGACATATTTTTAAACTGAAAAACATTTGTGCTTAAAGTTACATTAATGATAACATATATATTACATTAATGGTAAACTTTATATGGGGGTTCCGTGAAATGGTTGCGATGACACATTGACGCAATTATAGATGTAATATATAAATCTATTGTCAATCTAAAACTAATTTTTAAAATGTTTATTGATACCATGTCCCATTGAAAATCTTTTTTGATGCGTTCAATACAAAAAATTTTAAGAAATAAACGTCTAACTTTAAAAAGTTGTCAAAAAACAGATTTTTTTTCGCTGAAAACCTTTTGAGCGTTTTTGGAAATAATAACGTTTTTGAAGGTTTCGAACAAAAACTTTATTTTTAAAGAAATTTCTTATTTTACGATATAACTTGATTTTAATACCAGAAAAAATTTGTGTTTATTGATATTCGCCTAGTTTATCGTTCAAGTTTCTTTATTTGTAAATAATAACACTCCTATATCAAAAGTATTCCAAATATTACTATGTAGAATGACATAAAAAGCTAGAAATAAAAAAAAAATAAAAAAAATGCTATTTTAAGGTACTTTATTAAATTTATGTTAGAGTCAACTGCTAAGTAACTTGGTTTCTATGTTAGTTTTGGTTAAAAAATACCGTGGAAAAATTAACTAATAAAAAAATTTCACAGAAATTTAAAACTTTATTTTAAACTTTTCTAAATATTTTGTCGATTCAATGTTGGGATAAAACTTTTTAATCAAATGTTAGAAAAAATAAAAATACCCATATCGTTCTGCATGACTTTTTTCTTATATCCAAAACCACGTTACCTAATCTTTATAAATTTATTTATTATCATTTGTTCATTTTATTCAATTGCATTTTGATTTTACCAATTTTAACTTCGTAAATGTTTTGTTGTTTTTTGTTGTTATTATAACTATATGATATTTACTATAACTACATGATATTTTAATTATATTTTTATAATTTAACTTTAATAAAAATAAGTTTAATTTTTGTTAATAACATGTCAGCTTTAATCTTTATTTAAAATATTTTTTCTTCTATTTCGAAAAATCAACTTAAATAATTTAAAAAAATTTAGCTATTATTAGTGGTAGATTGGGTACTAATTTTAGTGAAAGATTGGAGATTAACATTAGCAGTAGATTAAGGACAGTTATTATTAGATAGATAACCATTTGTCAAATAAATAAAAAATAAAGTCAATAAAAATAATCAAGGAAAATTAATTAAAAAGTTCAAACACGCACTCAGTTGAAATAAGAAATATGCCTGACTAAATAAAAAAATAAGAATAAAATGTATCGTTCATTTTTAAAAATGTATTTAATTTTAAAGCTTGAATTCTTTTTAATATAAAACTTTTCAGGAAAAAAAAAAACTTTTTAGAAAAGAAATGTTTTATTCTAAATTTGTGAACTTTTATTATTATTTTGGCGCCGTAAAGTTCGCTGCAACTGTTGATATGGCTGCCGGCATGATGTGCATATATTACCAAATTTAAGTCGATGTTTATCGACTATTAGTTTTTAGATTAGGTTTTATTTACATTTTGAAAAAGGCCACCCAGCATAACAATAAGAAATGTTTACTCCAAAAGTATAAAAAAATTTTTGGACCTTAAATAACTAGATTTTTAAAGAAATTTTAAAACTCACAATTTTTTTAAATAAAAATCTTTTAATTTGAAAAGATTGTGTGAAAAAAAAAAAAAATTGCAATAAAGTATCGTATAATTTAACATTATAAATTTTTGTTTTAAATGTTGTTTGTTTTAGTATACATTACTTAGTATACAATACAAAAAAAAATACATTTACATTAAAAAACTTACGTTTAGACAAGCCAGATATGGGCTCCAACAGCTGAGTTAGTCTTTCACATAAAGTTCCAGAGATAAAATCGTCAGAGGACTACAAAAAACACTAAAATTTACTTCAATAATTATAAAACAACAATTATTATCACAATATATAAGCAAAGTCTGAAAAATAGCTTACTTTTATATATCATATTTTTATATGTTTATAGAACTCAAATACAATCTATTTTTTATATTAATGTATAATGTTGTTGATATTGCTAGCTTTATTCATAAAAATCAAAGAATGGATGAAAATCAAAGAATGGACAAGTTTTATATAGTAATCTTAAATTTCGGATCTTTATCACTTATCATAATTTATATTATTAAATAATAAATATGATTTAACCCACCATGATCTTAGGAATTCGCCTTTTCTTTACACTAAAATGTTTTAAGGAACCTATATAATAGTGGCTTTTATATTAGGAATGTTATGATAATAATTAAAATCATGCGGGTGTCTTCAGGGAATATAGAAATTCGTCACGCTAGTCTGAAAATAAAACAACTGTTATAAATAGTTGTTTTGGAGTTTGGAATATCATTACTTACTACCTAACTTGTTAATGTAGTTTTTTATAAATGTATTTTTTGTAATTAAAATTAAACATATCAATTAGTCATCATTATTAATTACCCTTGGGAAAATATGCCTTCAAATGATGCGATTTGAAAATTAGTTTCTCATTTATCTTTAAAATAAAAGTATTTAAATTAGAGTTTATTAATTTATATTATATTTAGTTTTTTTTTATTGTGGCTTATGTTTTTAGAGCCGTAAGTTTCTATCAAAATAACTTAAGATTTGAGCAATAACCATTTAATTAAAGGCTCTGCAAAACAAAACAAGTTTTTGTTTTGTATATTCTAAAATCAATTTATTATAGAGCAAAGTTTCTTATTAACAACCGTGATTTATACACTCTATTATTGTGTCGCATTTTGACGTACCTAACTTTTTCATTTATTTTATTTGATTATTTATTAAAAAGTTTTAAATTGTTTTTCACATTTTTATCATTCATTTGGTTATCACGATATCTTTTTTAAAAAGTAAATTCTTGTCTTTTTTTTTTTAAAAGGTTTGTATATTCTTTATTTTTACTTTATTTTGTGCGATTGTTTTCATTTTTTCTCATTTCTTTATAAAGTTTTCTTTTTTAAAGTTTTTATAAAGCTTTATAAAGTTTTCTTTTTTTAAAGTTTTCTTTTTTTAAAGTTTTATTTTTTTAAAGTTTTATTTTTTTCTTTATAAAGTTTTTATTCACCAAATACTCCATTTTTGCAAAAAAAAAAAATTCAAAGCTAAAAAGTTTAGAGAACTTTAAAAGACTTTTCAAAATATTTATTAAACTTTACAGGTACACAAGGTGCACCCAGATTTATGCAACCGCAAAATACAAACCGTTAACGGTGAATTTTTTTGCTAACTAAAAAAATATGTTTTAAAGACAAAATTGTTATTTATTTTAAAGGTAAATAAATAAATATAACAGTATTTGTATATTATTTAATTATTGTTGTTATTTATTGAATGCATTAATTGCCACTAAAGATAGGAAAAATTAAATGTAAATTAATTAAGGGTTTTGATTGGGGCAGATTTTATTCATGATGATATAAAAATTATAATTTTTACATCATCAAGTATTACATCATTAATAAAATCTTTTATGAGTTTGCAAAAAAGTATGTGTTTAAAGAGTTCGCAACAATTTACTTTTAAAGCACATTAAGTTTTATCAATCACACTTTTAATGAAGTAAGTTAAAATTCAGTTTTGCGCTTTTTCTTGTAATCAGACCTCAGAATTCCCAAGAAACAAAGTAACAAAAAAACATTTGATGGAATGAGATAAATGAAATATATATCTATAAATCGAAACACACTAATCAATAAATAACTCATTTATATTATTATGATCATTTGCGGTAAAGTTTAGTCTGTATATATACACGTTGGAGAACGTTTGGTTAACAATAACTCTTATCTATTTTATAAAAATGAATGGTGATTTGAAAAAACCACACATCTTGCATTTTTTTACTATTCAAATAATAAAAGAAATTTTTAATTTATCAAGAAAATTTATTTTGTAACACGTGTTGTTTTTTTTTCAATTATTGTAGAGATAGCTAGAAAATTCTTAACAGGGCATTTTTGCAATAAACTCAATTTTTACATGACCAACAACAAAACAACAAAAACAAAAAAAAAATTCCAAAATAAGTATTTTATGATAATTTTTCTATCGTAACCTCTTTGATATAATCAGTGTTTTAATTTTATTTTAGATATTCAATTTTAATTCAATTATTATTTTAATATTAAAAACAGTGGGCGAGCATTATTTCAATGAAAAAAGATCGTATCAATCCAGTTTCAATAATTTTTTTAAATATTTTATTGCAAAACTCAACTATAGTTATAATAGCTAATAGCTTGATAATCAACACCTGACGTAATGAACACGATGACAATTCAACACCTTGGTGTTTATACGTCATCGTCAACGCCTAAATCGCAACACGTTTTAACCTATTGTTTAAATTCAAAATCGTCAGCACTTAAAATTTTTAATTTTTCAGAATTTTTCAAATAGAAAACGAATAGAGAATTCAAATGAAATAGCTAGGGATCTTTATTTTTTTGATTTATTTTTTTTTTACATATAGCGAACAATTTTTTTTTTTAAGTTGAAGAGTGTTTTAGGCTGTATGTAAACATATATAATAATTGAGCTGTATGTAAACCAAATACGATTCTAAAATTAGGGGGTAGGGACATGGCTCTCACATTTGCAAATCGGGTCCTATGCTGGATACTTTCGCGGGCTACCTTTTAATGGCAAAGCTGCACAAAAGTCTAAAAAAAGTTTTAAAAGTCTAAATAAAAAAAAAGTCCGCTAAAAACGTTCCGAGTCCAAGTGCTAGAGGTCCATCATTCCCCCCCCCCCCATGTGGGGGTCATGGGTAGGGGGTGACCTTTTAAAAAGTACTGACTGATTTTTGAAAAAAAATAATAAAATATTTAAAAAGGACTCTCAAAATTAAAATTCCCGACTGAAATATTTCAAATATCTGACTAGCCGACTATATTACCCAAAAAACCGACTATAAATTGAAAGTCACCTTCTTTGGGGTCTACTCACACCCCCCCCAAACCGTAAAATTTTCTTTGGTGTAAATATATAAGGGAAGGTTGTCTAACATAAGCAGGGTTCTAAGATGGTGTAAGCTCTTTCACGAGCAGGCAACTGAGCTTTTTATGAATGTTTTTAGCAAAATGTATTTATACACGTTTGAAAATGTTATTTGCTTTTATTTAGTAGTAGTCTAAATTGATATTCTCTTATTTTTTATTATTCAAAAAAGTCAGCACCAACGTTATAATTTTTTTTTATTCAATACCTTTTTACCTCAGAATGTAACAAGATGTGTAAAAGATGTGTAAAATTTTTTCATCAATGTTTTATGTTTATCTACTTTTAATTCCATGGGTTGCATAAGAAAAAAATATTAGCAGTTGTCATGCTATTTAATTATAACAGTCGTGGGCGAACGTGCTTTAAATTGAATGTTTCAAAATGCCAAAGGTGAGATGCGTTTTATCTTTACGGAGTGTGCATATTTTTATTAAGTTTTTCTCCACTCGAGCAAAAAAAAAAACTAAAAAAATCAGCCTTTTTAGGGCAGAAATTTATTAATATTTTTGATTGATATTTTTGTCTTAGTAAATTTTTTTAAATAGATCATGTTATTTAGATTTTTTTTCAATATTATTTTTCAGCCTTACTTTCTGCTTGTATATATTTTATTTTAAATAATATTTAGAAAAGTATATATATATATATATATATATTATATATATATATATATATATATATATATATATATATATATATATATATATATATATATACATACATAATTTATGTATAATTTATGTCATAAAAAATAGGTAATATTAAAGCAGTTTTAATCAAACATACAAATTTAAATTATGATTTACACTTAAATTTAGTCTGCAATGTAAAATTGTAAAATGTTGAAAATTATTCTTTAAAATAAAATTGCGTTATTTTTTTTAATGCTTCCTTCTAAAATATATATATACCCAGCAGGCACAATGACGTTGAAATAACGTTGAAACAACGTCGCAAACCGACCATATGCCACGTTGAAACAACGTTGAAATTTGGTTGAATTGGAAATAAAATCCGACGTCGAAAACTACGACGTTGAAACAACGTCAATGATTACGTTGTTTCAACGTTGATCTAACGTCTTATCGACTACATATCAACCATATTTCAACTTTGAATAGGTGATATATTCGGTTGATACGTAGTTGATACGACGTTAGAACAACGTTGAAACAACGTAAATTCAACGTTAATTTTCGTTTTTTATTTTGGTTAAATCCAATTAACTAAAAAATTATCTCAACTTTAATTGCAATAAAATAGCACAATAAAAAAGCAATAATTTGCGCAGAGGATATTGTATTTCAAGTATATTAATATGATATAACTAAATTGCTTCAAAGGACTTTATATACAATGCAAATAAAGTAAAATGCTTGAAAAAAAAAAGTTTTATTTATCTGTAATATATTTACATAACTATTATCAATAGTTCCAGAACATAACTATTATCAATAGTTCCAGAACAACTAGGAAAAAGTATGAATGTTATACATCGGGTGAATCGCCTTTTACGCGCCGACCACCACCATTTGATCTGTCGAGTGCGTATTTTAATAAAGTCATTATTCCTTTTCTTATTTCGGCAACTGTAGCAGTCACTTTAATTGACAAAAGCTCTCTATAAAAAAAGGTATTGCCTGAGTAATTTGCATCAAATACATCAAAAAGTTTAAAATAAAATAGCATTAAAAAAACAAACTGTGATTTTTATAAATATATAATTTTACACTTAACTTACAAGTAAATACCTAATTTTTGTTCCTTTAAACTTCTCTTTACCTTTACCGCCAGCCATATTAAATTTTGATTATAAACCATTGGTCAACAACCTG